TAGAGTCGGTTAAGTCCTCTCTGCTGATCGCAGAAATCCAACTTCTTCTTCGCTCCGAAGTCAACTCTTCTATGTACTCTCCTTGGTTGACAACATCACGTGGAACACGAAAAAACTTACTTTCTCAGCGGTGGGCCGTATCTTGCCCGTTTTATTGCCACATCCGACAATGAGGCAAAGGACCACGATGAAAAAAATTAAATTTCTTCGCTAAGAAGGCTAGAATGTCGTACAGAATGTCCCAGGTGTTGATTAGCACGAGTAGCACGCATTCTGCGATGGAACACCAATATGGCGGATGAAGTTGGTTGTCATGACGATATGCAAATTTCATCACGCGAGTGAAAACGCTCTATAAAAATCCTTGTCCATGACACACTCAAGAACCTAGCCAATCAAATGATTTCCTCGTGCCAAGTCCTCGCTGACTAAGAACCTCTGCGGACGAGAAGGTTCGTCGTCAAAATTTGACGAACTGTTCAAGAATGTTAGCAAACTTGCAACGCGAAGAACGTATAGGAAGTGGCACGTTTGGAGTCGTTTACAAAGCCAAGTTGGAGGATCGATTGGTAGCAGAGAAAGCACTTCACGAGCACCTTTTCAAATGTCACGACCGGGATAGACATGTTGCAAAATTTGAAGCAGAGTGCAGGATTCTTGCAAAACTCAAACACAAGAACGTCGTTGAACTGTTAGAATTCGCGATTTTTCATTCTTCGCCTCCAGTGCTTATCACTGAACTCTTGGATCGCGACTTAGGGAAGTATATTACTTCATTGCATCCTGAGAAGATTCCGTTTCCAGAGGCAGTCTCGATCATGTCAGATGTAGCCGATGGGCTCGCTTATCTTCACGAGCATAATCCACCAATAGTGCATCGAGATTTAGCTTGTAAAAACATTCTCCTGACAAGGGAAAAGCAAGCTAAGATCGCTGATCTTGGTCTTGCTAAAGTGTTTCCACGTAATGGAAGAATGCATGCCTCTCCGCAACCACTAGGAACACCAGTCTATGCCGCCCCAGAAACGTTTTCCCCGGATGGACATGGTTATGGCACTGATCCGGTCGAATACGATGTCAAGGTTGATATTTTTTCCTTTGGAGTTATTTTGATGGAGGTTAGCAATGGCAGTCCTCCAGTTGTGGAACCAGCGTGGCCCATCACCAAGGGTTTGTATTCTTGGAATCTCTATCGTTCAGTTAATTTATGATTATTAGATATTCTTTAAGTAGACCGCATTTTCTAGGAGTTTACCGGCGCAAAATCCAACGCAAGATGTTGGGAGAACACAAGGAGAGCTCGTAAATTCGAACCGAGAAACTGTAAAAAATAGAGCTGATATTCGCTAAAATATTATCTTCATTTCTTCGTCAAGGGAGTAAAAGGCGCCTAGAGTAACTGACTTACCCTGTTAAATATTATGTTGAGTACTGTCCAGTATTATGCTGAGTTCTGCAATACATCCCAGTATTTTTGCAGCGAGATTCAAGTTTACTAATTGAAAGACGGCCATGGATTGGCCAACAATGTTCTGCTACTTTCATCGCATAATTATTCATTAGAAGTCATAGTTAAACAAAATCACGACGGCAACTTCAACCTTTTATGGTTAACAGTTAAAGAAGTCGTCAATTTTTTACTTAATCTGAGGTCGACTGTTATTCAGCATTACCGGTACGCACACAAGCGTGAATTTTAGATATTCTATATAGAATTTGTTTCGAAGTGTAGCTGTCGCTTTCTGCCGCCGGGCCGTTTATTGCCGTTGAATTATGCACAAATATTGTCCTTCGCAAGTCAGTAAAAAGTGGGCTTTAAAATGCTTCGCCTTTGTACATAAAATCTAACAAGAAAAAAAGTACCTTTTATTCTGTTTATTCACGGACATTTGCAATTGTGTGGTAGACATAGCGCCTGGAATAAGAGCACAAGTTGTCCGTTATTATGTAATCAGTAAACTTGAGATATTTACATAGTCGTGTTTGTTTGCTAAACTTCACAGATGAGTTGCTCCTTACTTTTTGTGGCTACTCAGGCATTCGGCGTAGCCACTTGTTATAGTATTGATAATATACATGAAAAAATTACTCGATTCTGATTGGCTGAGAGCAGTGCAGTTCAAGTGTAACAC